CCCCCCCCCGGTGCTCTTGCCGAGAAAATGAAGTTGGGATGTGGAACGTTGCACTCCCCGCCCCGTCCTCCCCTCACCCAGCACTCCTGCCAGGAAGCGGGTCGGCTCATGGGGGCTTTGCCCACTCCCCAGCAGGAGTGCTAGGCAGGCGGAGTGGGGCAAGCCCCTGCGCCCTGACCCTGCTCCTCGGCAGGAGCGCTGCGTGGGCACCCATTTTTCCGGGAGACCCCCATTGGCCAAGCAGCTAATCTGCCACTTGTGGACCATTCCCTTGCCATAGCTTAATCCACTCCTCTTCTTCTGACTTGCCAATGATCTACAAACAAAAATTACATGCTGACTTAAATACACATGTTAAGAACTTTTCTATTTCCATACTGTGCCCTGGGCCTTGTAGAGTGACAACTATGAATATCAAGTCTGCAAGTGATTGCTATCAACAGATCTGTAGGTTGAATTGGTGGTCCTGGTACTGAACTATGTACAGAGACATCTGATTTGTTTTAATATACTGTAGATTTCAGTCATGACAGTGTCCTACATATTACTATGTAGCATGATGGCTAAAGTCTGATATTTAAAGAAAGGGATAAAATGTTAGTCTCAAACTTACCTCATTCTCATGTGCTCACCATGCTTGACCTTAAAAATTGCAAACAAAATTATACTGGGTTATTTGGGGGAGAATGGCGTTAACCTTCTCCCAGCTGAGGGAATAGTCTATATATCCAGATAGTTTTTGCAGCTTGCCCTGAAGTTTGTTTGTTCCAGTTCCAGTACCCACATCAGCAGTTCTGCCCTTTTCATGATAACAATAAAGAATGCAGCTGAGGAAAGGGACTATGGAGTCCTTAGGGTGGTGAAGGCGTTGATCCTTCAACCCCCTGTAGTAGGAGGCAGGAATGAATAATGTCTTTACAAGAATGGAAAAACTTAATCTTAAAGATTTTGAGGAAACATCCTATTAGTATCTACAGGTTTTAGAAAGTTACTTGTTTTGTTTTTTCTGGATTCCAGATGTATTTGCCATTAATAACAGAACAGGTGTTATCTTCATTAAAAAGCCTCTTGACTATGAAAGCGTGAAAAGCTATGAACTTCGGGTACAGGCAGACTCACTACAAGTGGTTCGATCCAATCTACGTGTCCCTTCCAAAAGTAAGTTATATTTCATGTATTTTCAAAAATATAAACATATTTAATTTAATAAAAATACTTTTTGAGAATAAATAATGTTACTATGTAATGAGCATTAGCTTGCTAAACCCAGGGTTGTGAGTTCAATCCTTGAGGGGGCCCACTTAGGGATCTGGGGCAAAATCAGTACTTGGTCCTGCTAGTGAAGGCAGGGGGCTGGACTTGATGACCTTTCAGGGTCCCTTCCAGTTCTATGAGATAGGTATATCTCCATAATTTTATCTTACAGGGTATTGATAAGCATTCACTCTAATCAGTTATATAATAATTTTGTGTTGCTCTGTTTTCACTATGTATGTAGATAGTGATACCAAGTAAATCATAAAATATGCATTAAAGCCTCCCTAGTAGTGTCTGCTCCTAGGAAGGAGATCCATGGAAGAGATAATACTGCCTAATTACTAATTATATCCATGATAAACATTTGTGACTCTTATTATCCACAGGAAAATGGGCCTTCAAGAGTTGAATTAATATTCAGTATAAGTACAGTTTCTTTTTTTAATTGAAACATAAAACCCATCAAAACCTCACTCAAGCAAAGTTTAAGAATATTTTTTCAAATAAAATATACAACCCAAATACACACAACTCACCATTTCTGCAGGGCTGATATTTGTTTGCAGAGGAGATTGGTGGGTTCTAAAGTACTCTGATGCAACTTGTAAACTTATCTCTAGGTGAAACTTCAAAGTGGGGCTAATTTTTTAATATCAATCAGGGAAAACAGTGTTAACACCAATAACATTATTTTTACTCCAAAAATATGAATCATAATCTATCCAAAACTAAATGTCTCCTACTGGAAATGCTAAATATAACTAGTAAGTAACATCCAATAATCAGTTAGCAAATTTCATGGTTCCCTTTTTTTTTTTTTTTTTTTAAATAGCACCTATTCTGTACATAGATTGAGAACATCTTCACAGTATGCTTTTTATTTTGGTAAGGTTTTAAGAAACATAGTTCTGAAAAATAAGAACTTTGCTAGGAACTTCTAAATGCTCATAATAATAAAATTGCATAAGAAAAGTCGTGTTAACTAGTAAATTTAAATGATTAAAGCTTATGGTAGTTTAAGTTGTTACATTCCGCTTACTTCACCACAATTAACTAAACTTAATGGGCAAAAGCAATAGAATAGTTTGCTGGACTTTCCAACATTATGAAGAGGCAGGGAATGTGTGCTATGTGCAGTATTTGGTTTTCTTTATGACTGAGAAAAACCTTTGCAAATGTTTGGGATGTTCTCTTTTCTTTCATGCTATTTTCTGAACATGTCAAAGTGATGATTTAAAGGGGCAAACATACCAAGTAATAGTTGTAGTTTAATGTGGCACAGACATTTATGCCCTCACACATATCTACAATGAAAAATATGCAAAGTATGCCCATACTGGGCAGCTTCCTGTCTTAAGAGATCATCCAAAATATATTTGAAGTGTCCCCAAAGGTATTGGGCCTGAGTCTCCATTGCCCAACACCTTGCATAGTCATTAAATTGATACAAAGTGAAAGCAAAGTGGAGGTACAATGCTACTAAATCAAAATGAAAGTAGTTTACATCCATTTTGTTCTGAAGTAAATGGCTATGCAAGGTGCGGGGCTTCAGGAAATCAGCCCACTGAGAGCAATCCTGCTACTGCTTTGTTAGAAGACCCACTTACCAGAAGGAACTGATTTATTTCAGTTCCCTAGTTACTTATAATAGGCAAGTTTCCCTATGTAGTGTGTTCTGCTGTCATGTCTGAAGTGAACCTTGGCTCCAGGGCGTGGTCCGCTGTCAATGTGGTTATGTTATACCAATATAACAGTTATTCTGTGATTTTTATTTCTGGACTTTCCTCTTGGCTGATTGCTGGCCTTAAAAATCCATTGTGATCTCTTGATCCTGTGGCTGCTCTGCACTTGGCTAGCCCTTAGCACAGTTTAGAACACCAAGGGCCGTTGTGGTAGGTGGGAATCACTGAGGTATGGGGCACCTCCCTTTTCCCCAGCCATGCCCCCTGCCCAACCCACAGGAAGGATGGTGACATAGGAATCACTATCATGCCTTTATACTAGGAAGAGCTTCCTATAGCTAGGTAAGCCAGTGATTCAGATCACAGTAGCCATAATGCAAAAGGGGAATCTAGCCTTCCATCTCTTTGGGATCAAAATGGACACTTGAGCTGAAAAATCATGACAGGTACTATTTTCTACACAAAAGTGCTGGCCTTTAACAAAAAAAAAGTTAGCAAGTGTTATAGGTTATCCCCAAGATGTGATCAAACTTACTGAAATGATTGTACGTTGTTTTGTGTTTTAAGTAAACACAAATGTTAATTTGTTAAACTTTGTAATCATATTATAAAATTGAAATTACAGACATTAAACACATTTCAATGTAGAAGAATGTATAAATCTTTTCCTATCTAAAGTGCTGTAATTGTGGGCCAGACCATAAGGGATCACCATTTAAAAAGGCCTTGTGAAAATAACAAAGGATATACCATTTGGTAATAACCTTGTAAATAAGAATAAATTGATGAGACAGGGTGGGTGAGGTAATATCTTTTATTGGACCGACTTTTGTTGGTGAGAGAGACAAGCTTTTGAGCTTATACAGAGCACGTCTTCAGTTCTGGGAAACTAACTCAAAGCTCATCATCAGAAGCAAGTTCCCCACAGATCAGGACACACCAACTCAAGGCAGCACCAGACCCTGCCAGAACAACACATGCAAAACAGCAGACATACCTCCTCTGCTACAGGGATCACCCCCCCCACACACACAACACGTTTCAAGATCCATGGGTCCTGCCCATGCCTATCACAACATGTGGTGTACCTCATCCAGTGCACTAAATGGCCTAATAGCAACTATGTGAGTGAAACCAGATAATCATACACTCTGATAAAAGATAAAAACAACACATCATCTGTGGGTGAACACTTTTCACAAAGCAATTACTCTATATCTGACCAATCAGTCCTCATCCTCAAAGGAAACCAGCACACCACCTTCAAAAGGTGAGTCTGGGAGATTAAATTAATAACTTTGCTAGACACAAAAAATCATGGATTGAATAGAGACACCGGTTTTATGGCTTATTAAAACAATCTGTAATTCACTAACAACCCCATCCCAAGATGCTTCCCCATTGCCCTTCCTTTTCTCCCTGTGACTGGAAGAGTGTCAATGAGCCACTTGACCTTGAATGGTCCCTTGAAATAGGCATTAGCCACTTATGCTAAACAATTTGTTCAAATCTTGTATTTTGCAGTGACACTTTGAGCTAGTTTCCCAGAGTTGGAAAAGCGCTCTGTGCAAGTTTGAAAGCTTCTACCTCCCTCAAACAGAAGGTGGTCCAATCAAAGATATTACAGCTCTTATGCCAGAAGAAGGCTACACATACAAGAAGGCTAATGGCATTTTGGGCTGTATAAGTAGGGGCATTGCCAGCAGATCAAGGGACGTGATTATTCCCCTCTATTCGACGTTGGTGAGGCCTCATCTGGAGTACTGTGTCCAGTTTTGGGCCCCACACTACAAGAAGGATGTGGAAAAATTGGAAAGAGTCCAGCGGAGGGCAACAAAAATGATTAGGGGGCTGGAGCACATGACTTATGAGGAGAGGCTGAGGGAACTGGGATTATTTAGTCTGCAGAAGAGAAGAATGAGGGGGGATTTGATAGCTGCTTTCAACTACCTGAAAGGGAGTTCCAAAGAGGATGGATCTAGACTGTTCTCAGTGATACCTGATGACAGAACAAGGAGTAATGGTCTCAAGTTGCAGTTGGGGAGGTTTAGGTTGGATATTAGGAAAAACTTTTTCACTAGGAGGGTGGTCAAGCACTGGAATGGGTTACCTAGGGAGGTGGTGGAATCTCCTTCCTTAGAGGTTTTTAAGGTCAGGCTTGACAAAGCCCTGGCTGGGATGATTTAGCTGGGAATTGGTCCTGCTTTGAGCAGGGGGTTGGATTAGATGACCTCCTGAGGTCCCTTACAACCCTGATATTCTATGATTCTATGATTCTAAGGTTGTTTTTTTATGAGAGTATCCAGTTTTGAGAGCTGATTCTTGATCTTTCCCTGTTTGCTGTATAGGATGTTGATCAGATGGTTCCTCAGTTTCTTTGAGAGTGTGTGGCACAATCTGTCAGCATAGTCTGTGTGGTATGTAGATTGTAATGGATACAGACTAACACGGCTGCCACTCTGAAACTCATGTGCTGTTACCCGTGTCTTATGCAAGAAAGTTGCTGTGATGTTGCATGAGGGGCCCCTAAAATACCACAATCAGGAAGTAATTTATGACACTTGGGTCTGAGGCTTTTGGTACCACTCACTGCAGGTTATAATGCTGTTGCACTTTTTAAAAAAAATGCTTGATTATTTAAACTCCCCTCACATACACACACCTCCCCCCAAAAAACACCAAAACCTGGAGGTGGGTGGAAAGGGCATAGGTTCAGCATAGAGCTCAAGGAACCCTACAAAAAGAAGCAAAATTATTTTTTATTTAAACTGAGTTGTATTCCAATGTGTGTGTAATAATTTAGCATAAGAAATCCCTGATGTGTAAAACACCTTTAACCTGATTTTATTGCACGCAAATCAACTTGGAATTTATGTAATACACATTTGAATCAAAATGCATTCTATGCGAGGGCTGTTGCTGGTTAGATCTACAGAAATGAATGATTCTACATTTAGTAATGGCATATAACATGAAGATTACACTATATCAAAAGCTAAACTAATTTCTGCCATTGTATAGCCACTAGGAAAGCCTTTACAAATATTAATTGATACAATGTGTACCAGATTAGCTTTATGGATACTAAAACAGAAGATACATAGAATTCAACAAAAATAACTAGTAAATAGTGGTCACCCGGGCTCTGTCCTTCACTTCTGAGCACTAATACATGTTGCATCAATCTCTAGCACACTCTCTGGCTTATGCTAGGAGCAG